GTATTGTTAGCCAGACATGGCTGAAAGGTCAATATAATAAAAATAATAAATATAAATGTATAATGTTATGAGATTTAAGCTATTTGATCTAAACATTATGTTATAATTTATGTTCATTCTAGAATGAAAGAGCCATAATTTATATTTATGGAGGTTGTGAGATCAGTCAAATCTACTGAACCCGTACAGAGATTAATTACTGAAAATAACAGATAAAATATAAAGTTTTTTTAAAGAAATTATAATGATTTCGCATGTGCAATTTCAAAATTTTCTGATACATAAAAGTATTTTTAATCTTAAAATGAATATTACTTTTCATGATAAACAGGCAACATGTGAAAAGAAAAAAAACACGAAAAAAGCATTGCTTGGCAAACCTTAAAACTTCATAAAAAAATTTTGATATTTTGCATATGAAAGCATTGTAATGTTTAATGATAATCTGCCAAATTTTGTTAATGTTCGATTACTAATTTAAAAGTGATAGCGTGAAAACTACAACAAGCATAAAATGGTTACGAGGTCGATCCCAGGGACCGAGCCCATGCTGAAAGAGTTAATTAGGAGAATTTCAGAAAATTTAGCAAATTTGTGCTCAAAAGTTGGTAATGAGTAATAAATAACCGTCCACCTGTATGATTGTTTTGAAAATTTGAACTTGAAATTACTAATCTAATTTGTTTGGCCTAACCAATACTTATGTACCTGCACGTGCTTTCACCCTATACTTTTGCTGCTCTAAATCAGCCATCTCTAAACCAAATGACAAAAAACAGTCAACCTGTACTCTTAGGTGAAGTTGTAATAAAAATGTTAGACCGATAACTCAAGTGACTTTTTGTGCAAATATTATGGTCAAATTGGAGCAGTTTTTTTTAATAGCCTTACACATGTGGCTTATATTTAGACCAAATTTGACATGTAATTGTAGGTTGTAAAGATCTATCCAAATACAAAGGCTCATCATAGGTTAGTGGCACTACTATGATTTTGTTTATGTTTTTTCACACCAGCAAGCTTCACTTGTTAGCCACCTGTACTGTGACTTAAGGATATATTTTTTCTATAACCTTTAGTATTACTTAAAACTGTTACTGCTATAAATGATGTTCAAATACTGTACTTTAGAACATTAACAAGATGCCAAAGTTCTTCCTGTAAAATATCATAAAGGAAATGCTTTTGTCAAATCAGCAGATGGCAAATAAAGCTTTTACTGTACTTGGGTTGTCTAGACCGAATGCAGTGGGTACTGTTTGTGTTGATGTCAAAATTATTTACAATTCCAAGAAGCCTGGAAATGATTACTATTGGGTGCTGAGCAGAATATATAAAACTCATGAGAGATAGATTGCACTGTGCCTGGAGACAAACCACAGGTTGAAAACAAACTCCTTAAACTGGAGATATAGTGATGCGATTCAGGTAAAATCACAAAAAAGTATACAGAATTGTCCTCATGCTGGCCTGTAAGATGTTCACTAAAGGGTACAGAGACCAGAAGACCAAAAACATAGCCAAATGTCAAATGTGATGAGATGTAACCTAAAATCCATGCTTGAGGTTGACAGGAACATCCTGATAAACAAGACAGATCAGCTCCACAAACCAATTTATTAATGTAAATGAAGCAAGATCTGTGGAACAAGAATCTTCATTGGTATAAAAACTGATGTTGATTCCTTCAAAATGATTCTGTTCTTGCAATGCAGAAAAAAAATGAACAGAAATAGAAAACATCTATCAGAAGGGGGGGGGGAATCAGGATCAAATCACAGTAAGTAAAACAACAGGAGAAAAAAAGTTGTGATCATCTCTCTCAATACAAGTCTTTGTTAGGAAGGCTTGATCATGATACAAGTACAGAGTATTTTTCCTGAAGTGAGTAACAAAATTAAATACATCTTTGTGGGAAAATAGTAGAGTGAAGAAACTGCAAAAAGTTCAAAAGGAGATCCAAGGCAACTTATGGCCAGAATTAAATTTAAGTTCTAAACACTTGAAAAAGAATCTGAAAACAAAAGTGAGGCTGACAGAAGTACATGACTTCTCTGGCAACTGAAAATGGATGAGAGTGCAGCTGTGTAGCTTCCAATAGAAGCAAACATGCCAGAATCATGAATGCAGCACAGGAAAAAAAAAGGCAAACTATTATCAAGTTGGAGAAGGAAAAGAAATTAAATGATACAGCCACCAACTCTGAATGATAGACCAATATTATTGGTAACCTACTAGGGAGGAATGTCTGCAAGAATGTGATGACATTCAAGCTATCCAAGAAGAGAAGCCAGCTTTACCCACAAAGAACTGCATAATAGCCAGCTGTGAAACTGTAGTCAAAAAATTTTATTGTGAAAGATGTACCAAAAAGTAAATCAGAAGATGGTGGAAATACATGGAAAAAACTTTGTTGTAAAGTTTACAACATAATTTTAAAAGAGAAAATCTAAAGTATGGTTGGAAAATAAAGTTTAGATTAAATCCACTGGTGCAAAAATCTGTGAGAGAGTGAAGAATTATGGGTAAGTGACATACACTTTTTTTAATCAGATGTTTTGTTGACAATGCAAGTTCAAACTCAACAAGGAAAGGATTTCAGGTTTTCAGAGGTAAGTCTACCTGATTTGTAATTTCATTTATACATTATTTTAATTTGATTATTCTATCATTTATATTTCATTTTATAGTTTTTAAAGCAGTCATCAGTTAAAAACATTATGTGGTACAGAAGTAAAGAAAATTTATTGCACATATTAATTTCAACTTGGCATAATTCCTTAATAAAATAAACAGCAAAAATGTAACTTCTCTACGTAACTTTCTTAAACATATCGTCCAAATTGTTTTTTTTAGTTCTATCTTATTAGTTACATTGTTTTGTTCCACAGAACTAAAAATAAAAAAAATTAGCCTGAGTATCATAACCATTTTACCAGTTCAGATATTTGTTTCCTAGAGCTTCCTACATATAAACATATAAGTTATTCCAAGGGATTATTAATTAATTTCCTAAATTCAGAAACATTTTTTTTTATTTAAGAATCACATATTTATAAAAACTATAAAAAACATCAGATCTACACACCATTACAGATAACATTTATTACACGAATTTTGACTATGTACATAAAAATATGCATGAAAAGGATCATAAAAATTGCTTAGGGGGAAAATTAGTATTCTTACTTAATGCTCGTTTGAAAACTTTCTTCCAGTAGTTTGTCGGCCTCATCCAACACAAAAAGTCGAACAGAATCTGTTTTCAGTAATCCTTCATTTATCAACTGTTGAATCCTTCCTAGAAAAAAAAAAAAAATCCCAAATTGATGTTAGTATTAACCTGAATTAAGTAAGTTCTATTTCTGTAAAGACAAAAGTTTTAGTAATACATTCAATGTAAACCAGGATTAAACCTTAATCAAAAGCAAGAGCATTTTCTGTACACAAGGTGAGTAAAAAAACCAGTAACAGATGAACAGTTTGTTTCATCAATGACTGTATTAACAGACACTTATTTGTACTGAAGAGACAAGAAACCTCAACTAAATATTAAGAAAAAAGCTCATTTTACCATTTATCGAGTACAGTAGATAAACCCCTACAAAATGATAGAAACAGTCTCATATATTTCATTAGTCTAATGTGTATTGACTAGAATGTTTGAAATAACTTTCTTACTAAAATGGAAACACAGTAGTTAGAGGGGTAGTTGGATAAACATATGACGAGGAAAGTTACAGCATTGTTCTTATACTGACTAATATCAGTAGAAGTGAAACTAAATTAAATGGCTTTGGTTTAACTCTTTAAATATTAACATGGATACAGTTTTGCATTCAGTCACGTTTTTGGTTCTACACCCTATAATAATTAATTAAAAATTACTCATTAGGTTATTTTTTAACACATCACAGATGTATCACTTAAAACAAATAAGAGAGGCATAGATAAATCATGTTGGCCATATATGTCTGTTTAATATCTTCATAATATGACAGGTAATACATGTATTTTATCCGATCACAAAATTCCATGATTTATCCCAATAAAACAAAAACAACATTGATTTAACATTTATAAAGCAAAAATATACAACTATATGTAATACATAAAGTAAATAAGCAATTTTCATAAATAAATTTTTAGCCTGTAGTCTACAAACAGACCCTACATCATACACTTTACACTATCCTATAAATATGAATAATAATAAAACTCTAGCTGGTGATAAACAACAAAGTTACAATGACTGGGTTGAGCAAAGTTAATGACAGACGAATCTAATTAAAAAATGAAATTACTGTTTGTAATTAAAATTTTGAAAGTTCATGTAACAAAATTAAATATGTTTAAAGAGTGGCATATTTATTTATTTAAATAATTACAAGGATCTTGAATTATAGAAAGAAATTAGCTTAAAACTGAAAATGTAATTGCTGCGTGCATATTTACAACTTAACTTACCAGGTGTTCCAACTGCTATGTGACATTTTTTCAACTTCAAATGATCTTCTTTAACAGGTATTCCACCAATAAAATAGCAACTTTTTAAACCAGGAGATTTTCTACCAATTGAAAGAATTACATCACAATTTTGTACAGCAATTTCTCTGGTGGGTGTGAGAATTAGAACCTAGAAAAAAAGAAGTAATTTTGTATGATTAACTTAAAATGATCATGCAAATATTGGGCTCATTTGTTACATTTTCTTGAGAATATTATTTTTTAGCTTTAGATTTCTCTCTGTAATATTATAAGATTAAGAAACTAATAAAAGTTTTAAACATCTTAAATCTTATACTTAACGAGACTTGACTGTTTTAAAAATAAACATTACTTGACAAATATCAGTATTCAACTGTGTATACTAACAATGTTTATGATTCCATAAAAAAAATTAACAGCTAATCTATCAATTAATTTTCCCTCTAAAGGTAGTTCTTTATGGTAGAATTAAACAATCAAGTAAAAATCACTTAATCTACTTTAAACCAGTAACCCTTCCACTAATTGATAGAATAATATCACTAATTTGTACAGGTGGGTTAAAAAATTATCACCTAGAAAAAGAAGTCATTCTGCAATTGAAATTAATGTAATGTGGATGAAATTTAAGTTTGCACAGTGCTCGACATTTACAAAAATAGATACTCTTTTCTTTGCTTTATATCTTTTGGAATTGAATTTCAGAGAGGTGAATTTGATAGAGTGGTTGAGAGAGATTTAACTGAAAGAATCAGTTTCAATCTTTTTGATCGAGCAAATTAAAAAGTGAAATAGCTAATGTAATAATTAGTTAATCCTAATGTATAACGTGGACTGTTAAAAAATAACTATATAAAAGGTGGAATCAGTTATACTTAAGAATAAGCATTTTTATGATTTTTAAGTTTATTCTTCTTGTTATCATTCATTGAAAAAATCTTTCCATAATCAAATTGTTACAATCCTTAACCATTTTCAAAACTGAACTAATTCTTTTGTAGCTTTCTATATTAGAGCAAGAATATGGTAACTTGTTGAAATCTATTTTAATAACCTGCTTTTTCTAAAACCAGGAATCATGCTGAGGCCTTCTCTTGTTGGACTAGAAGGCCTTAGCAAAGAGTCTGAATTACTGTCAGTGTTAAAATAACATTTTTAGCCTGACTTGCTGTTAATACTATAATAGTCAGTTAGTGATGAATGTTAAGCATCCTAGATTTTAAAAGTTTACATTTTCCTATACCAAAAATGTATTTCTGATAAGACTTACCTCTCCTTTCACTTTAGCTTTACCCCAATAAAAGGTTCTCTTCTTTGCTCATCTAAGCATTAGTATGAATTATACTTTTCTTGCTTCATTTGTTATACACCACCATATCACCCATAGCAACTTTAATCTTGTGACTCTCTCCACTATACCCAATCTGTATATAAGCTCTCTATTATTCTTTCTTATTCACTTTTTTGAGATTGGCAAGATTATCACACCTGAACACTGGCTATCATGGGGAGGAAGGGTTGGATAGTGCGAGAGGAGGCAAGTATTATCAGAAATACATCTTCGGTATAGGAAAATGTAAACTTATAAAAAACACTGACCTCTTCTCCCACTTTAGCTAGAATCCCACACTGACCAAGTGGAGGAGCCAGTGAGTGAAAGATTAACACAGAAAGCATCTGTATAGAAACACAGGTGGGCAAAATTGAGATATAATAAATCACACTAATGGGGGTCTGCACTACTTCTGGAACAGGTATGCCCAGATAAAGTGAAATCTAAATGTGGGAGATAAAGGCTAACTGGCTACAGAGTAAACATTGTTCATTGTCATGAGATTCATCCAGGCCCCAATCACACAGACAAGGTTCCATGTCTTATGATTGGAATTATAGGGCTGTGGATGCAAAGCTAGATTCAAGGTATAGTGGCTAGGGCATTGGGACCACAATATGATATAACTGTATAATAGGAATATGCTTTGAAGGAAATCCAACCTGAAAGTTACAGAATGTTGCATGTCAAGCCACCATAACTGTGAAGAGAAGGCAAGCAACACCCAAATGGGCAAGTCTTCCCTCCAACCTAAAGAAACACAGAAGCAACAAACCCAACTCAGAATTAAGGAGCTAATTCACAGTTGCAAAGATGATAAAAAAAAAAAAACTGTTGTAAGTGACATACAAATTCAGGAAAACTGAGATTGATTAAAGTGGTATCTTGTCTAGAGCTCCATAAAGGAAGTAGAAGGTCTAACCTCTGCAAGTCCAAATAAGGGTTCTCTAGGTGATGGAAAGCCAAGACCTGCTGATCCAGCAAATGAGAAGGACAAGGCAGCAACCCCCTCCCTCAATTTATCTGCAAATCTCTTTGCATGAACAACAATGTCTGTCAAAGGTAGAAGGACTAGGTAATCAGACAAACTAGTTTCTCCCATTAAAGAAGGTGAAGATTAATAAGCCTCAGGAGAAATACTCAAAATACTACAAATATGGTATAATACTTGTTAAAAGGATGCAGGAGGCAGAATGTCCAATCTGAGGTTCATGAGTAGCTGTCTGAGCAAAGGATTACTGGAAAAATAAGAGTCTAAAATCTAAATTATCACTAGTCCACCCTTGATCTCCACAAACTCAGCCTCAAAGCCAACAGAAGAAAAAGCATCAGACCACATGCAAGTCTACCTCTCTGCGTATAAGGAACTGTATGTCCTCTTTGGAAAATTTTATGATTTTTCTGGACAATAATACTTTTTATTTTCCAATATATGGGTAACAAGTGTAAATGGGGAATTTAGGTATAGTGAGTTGTTTAGGTGTGTTCACAATTTCATTGGATAAAAATGAGTGTGATGTTTTTGAGTTCATGTTTTGGGTAGCTGTTCTGATGTTTTGTAAGAAGGAAATGTGTGTGAAAAGCTAGATAAGTGAAGCAAAAGTTGTAAGCTCTGTCAGTAAACATTGTAGATGGTTACATTTTGTAACCAAACACAATGAAGTTATTGAACTGAGTGAAACGGCTGGAAGTGTTTTTTTTCCAATACACAGTAGTATAAAAATCATTGGGATCCACAAGAACTTAAGTTAATATTTTCTTACACTGAAAATATAATTGATAGATACTTACAATTATGGCTATTCTCGATTTGACTGTCGTCTAGTTCTGAAATTTTTGCTTGCCACTAGCCTTGAAACTTCCACGTGGTTCAGCTGCATTTAAGCATGCAAATTAGCATGTGACAGTCCTCCACCAATAGGAGTGCAACAAAATTTCCTATTGCAGATGACTCCCTTCATGCAGTTGAACCCAATCTTCATTTTGAGATTAGGCAAGAAAAAAATGACACTGGAAGTATGGAGGACAGGTGGGAAGTGTGAGAGGAGGCAAGTATCTACTGGAAATAGATTTTCGGTGTAGGAAAACATTAACTTCTGATATGATTACATACCTCTTTTCACAGTTACAGCTAGAACTCCACATTGAACAGGTGGAGGGACTGGTGTAAAATTATCTAGATAAGCACCCTTCAAAATAGCACCTATGGAATGAGCCTTCTATGAAGAGGAAGCACACATGTGGGAAACCGCACTATATCTGAACCAGGTATACTCTTCGTCCATGTGGAGCCAACAGGGGTGGTGTTAAAATTAAAAGGTGAAACAAGGTAACAATTCCAAATCCCTAAGGAAGAGGAATACGTGTGGAGTGGCTAAGGTAAGGTGTGTCCGACTGTAAGCAGGAGTTCAACTCCAATCTAGATCAGTGGCACTGGGAGGAACTCCACCAGTCTATGGTAAGAGAAGGGTCTTCAATCATTCACTAGAAAGGGAGAGAAGCCTCTGTTCCAAGTACCTAAACCATCACTTGGGCAAATCCAGCATAACCTGCAGCAAGAAACCATAGGGAATATACATCCGGATGACATCATGAAGTTGGAAATGCAACATGGAGGGTCAATTCCAGTCCAAAACTGATTGGAATTGGGGATGCAGCATCCAGTCCATGGTAGGAGGAAGTTCCCAGCCCACTCACATATAAAGGACTTATGTTGGTTGGTCCTGCTCCAACTAAAACTAATCACCCAGGCAACAGTAGGAGAGCAGGTTCCCAGCTGGAGGATCAAATTGCAAAATAGATGGAAAAATCCAGTCTAGACCGGTGGCATCTGGAGTAAAACATCATATCAGCAGCAGCAAGATAGTCATACCTTCTACACAGGCAGAATGCTACCACCCTACTTTCGACTGAGTGCAACTGTGCACACATCACTGGAGAAAGTGAAATGGGTGACCACAAAACCCTATTTTGAAAAGCAGAATGCTCCTGATTCTGGCAATTTAAGAAACATTATAGATGGGTAGCAATCTTTTTCTGCTTTACTCATGTTAGTCCATGAGTGCACAGTCTGGTAAAAAACATAGTTATGATGCAATATACTACAAGGAAGAACCTACAAGCAGTCTGTGAGTATGATAGAGGAAAACATACAGCAAAAACAAAAGGAATGTTCTAAAGCCCACAACAGTTGAAACAGACAGATCCACGTCAAAAAGCCATTTGAAAAAACCAGATATCTGAAGAAGGGGGGAGAGAATCCATACTGGATATACCAACAACAGAATATTCTCCACTCATGTTGATACAAAGACATGGATAAATAGGGATGCTACACTTGTAGATAGTCCCGAACCCCTCGCAAAGGACTGAACAAAAACCACATGTGGAGCTGGAGTGTGGGAATGGAAGGATGAAGCACTCTGAGTGATGTTGCTGGAGGAGGAACCAAGAGAGAGGTAATGGAGGTAGTTCCTGGAGAGGGGACAGAGATAGAAACCATGGTTGAGACAGCCAGAAAGGAGCCACAAGAAGGACTTGACATGGAGTGGATTGGATGAGGGAAAGTACTTGTGGTAGAAGAAAGATGGGCAGGTATGTATAAAGGAAAAGGTACTTCCAATCCTGGATGAATGCATCCATGGCCAAAGCCAAAGGATATTGAACTGGGAATCAAAAGAGAGGAAGTTTGGCATTCAATTGAGTGACAAACGCGTACAGCTGGGGAGTATCCAACTGAGAACACAGCCATCAGAATACCTGGGGTCAACAGACCACTCTGTGGGTAGAACTTTGTTGGGATGGAACAGCCAAAC